TTTAAAAAAATACTTCTGTCAATACCATTTATGTGGAACTAAGGATCTGTGACTTCAGGATCACAGAACAGCAGAGCTAAGGTTGCAATCCCATGCATGTTTGCGCAGAAAGTCCTACAATTCCCAGGATGCCCCAGGCAGCCATGTAGGATAATTTAAATATGCACAGGATAGATTATATCCTCAAACTGTGATCTGGTGGTAGTACCCCTCCCCTGTGGCCTAATGCAGATACTCATTTCATAAGCTTCCTGTTAATTGTTATATTTAATATAAAGCAACTTTTTACCTTTAAGCTCTCTCTGCCTCTGTCTTTCTCTCTCAAAAAGCAAGCATAATGGAAGATGGGGACACAAATTGCACTGGATTGTTGTGATTATGCCCTTTCTTTTCTATAATAATTATAGGAATGTTATCAATTCAGGACAGTAATTCTTTTTAGTCTTTGGCATACATTTCTAGTCCCTAGAACAATTGAGACCACAATCCTATAGTGGGAGTTTGGGGCTATTAAATTTTGTAGGAACCCCAAATTCACTGGCAGAAATACCTTGGTGGACTGGCTGAAATGGACTCATAGGTGTGATGTGGGCACACTTACTCCATATCTGTTGCCCCTTCAGTCCATGCCCATGTCCCGTTTGGCAGCAGAACTCTATAGCAGCCCCAGACCTGGTGCCAAGCATTGTCCTGGCATTGTTGCTAGTTGCAAAGTCATGTCTGACCCAGCGTGACCCCATGGACAACATTCTCCAGGCCTTCTTGTCCTCCACCATCCCCCTGGAGTCCACTTAAGCTAACACCAACTGCTTCAGTGACTCCATTTATCCACCTCATCCTCTGCCGTCCCCTTCTTCTTAGGCCCTCTATTGTTCCCAGCATTAGGCTCTTCTCCAGTGAGTCCTTCCTTCTCATTAGGTGGTCAAAGTATTTGAGTTTCATCTTCAGAATCTGTCCTTCTAAAGAGCAGTCAGAGTTGATCTCTAGGACTGACTGGTTTGCAGTCCAAGGGACTCACAGGAGTCTTCTCCAGCACCATAGTTCAAAGGAAAGGCCTCAGTTCTTCGGCACTCAGCCTTTCTTATGGTCCAGCTTTCACAACCATACATTGCAACTGGGAAAACCATAGCCTTGACTATACACAGTTTTGTCGGCAGGGTGATGTCTCTTCTTTTTAGTATGCTGTCTAGATTTGCCATAGCTTTCCTCCCAAGGAGCAAGCGTCTTTTAATTTCTTGGCTGCAGTCCCTGTCTGCGGTGATCTTGGAGCCCAGGAAAATAAAATCTGTCACTACCTCCATTTCTTCCCCATCTATTTGCCAGGAAGTGAGAGGACCAGATGCCATGATTTTAGTTTTCTTAATGTTGAGTTTCAAGCCAATTTTTGCACTCTCCTCCTTCACCTGCATCGAAAGGCTCTTTAGTTCCTCTTCACTTTCTTTGATTGGAGTGGTATCATCTGCATATCTGAGGTTGTTGATATTTCTCCCAGCAATCTTAATTCCAACTGGTGATTCATCTAGCCCCGCCTTTCTCATGATGTGCTCTGCATATAAGTTAAATAGGCAGGACAACAGTATACAGCCTTGCCGAACTCCTTTCTCAATTTTGAACCAATCAGTGGTTCCGTGTCCAGTTCTCACTGGACCCACATATAGGTTTCTTAAGAGACAAATAAGATGGTCTGGTACTCTCATCTCTTTAAGAACTTGCCACATTTTATTGTGATCCACACAATCAAAGGCTTTAGCATAGTCAATGAAGCAGAAGTAGATGTTTTTCTGGAACTCCCTAGCTTTCTTCATGAGCCAGCATATGTTGGCAATTTGATCTCTAGTTCCTCTCCCTCTTTGAAATCCTGCCTGTACTTCTGGTAGTTCTCAGTCCACATACTGCTGGAGTCTAGCTTGTAGGATTTTGAACATCACTTTGCTAGCATGTGAAATGAATGCAACGGTGTGGTAGTTTGAACATTCTTTTGCATTGCCCTTCTTTGGAATTGGAATGTAAACTGACCTTTTCTAATCCTGTGGCCACTGCTGAGTTTTCCAAATTTGCTGGTATATTGAATGTAGCACTTTTACTGTATCATCTTTTAGGATTTTGAATAGCTCAGCTGGAATACTGTCACCTCCACTAGCTTCCTAAGGCCGATTTGACTTCACATTCCAGGATGTCTGGCTCGAGGTCAGTGACCACCCCATTGTGGTTATCAGGGACGTTAAGCTCTTTCTTGTATAGTTCTTCTGTGTAATCTTGCCACCTCTTCTTAATCTCTTCTGCCTCTGTTAGGTCCCTGCCATTTTGGTCCTTTATCATGCCCATTTTTGCATGAAACGTTCCCTTCATATCTCCAATTTTCTTGAAGAGATCTCTGGTCCTCCCTATTCTATCATTTTCTTCTATTTCTTTGCACTGTTCATTTAAGAAGACATTCTTATCTCTTCTAGCTATTCTCTGAAATTCTGCATTCAATTGGGTATACCTTTCTCTTTCTCCCTTGCCTTTCGCTTCCCTTCTTTCCTCAGCTATTTGTAAAGCTTCCTCAGTCAGCCATTTTGCTTTCTTGCATTTCTTTTTCTTTGGGATGGTTTTAGTTGCTACCTCTTGCACAATGTTACAAACCTCTGTCCATAGTTCTTCAGGCACTCTATCAAATCTAATTCCTTAAATCTATTTGTCACCTCTACTGTATATTCATCAGGGATATGATTTAGGTCATACCTGAGTGGCCTAGTGCTTTTCCCTACTTTCTTCAACTTAAGCCTAAATTTTGCAACCAGAAGCTCATGATCTGAGCCACAGTCAGCTCCTGGTCTAGTTTTTACTGACTGTATAGAGCTTCTCCATCTTTGGCTGCAGAGCACATAGTCAATCTGATTTCTGTGTTGACCGTCTGGTGATGTCTATGAGTAGAGTTGTCTCTTGGATTGTTGGAAAAGAGTGTTTGCTATGACCATCGTATTCTCTTGACAAAATTCTACCAGCCTGTGCCCTGCTTCATTTTGTACTCCAAGGCCAAACTTGCCTGTTATTCTGGTTATCTTTTGCCTTCCTACTTTAGCATTCCAATCCCCCATGATGATAAGGACATCATTTTTTGATGTTAATTCTAGAAGGTGTTGTAGGCCTTCATAGAACTGGTCAACTTCAGCCTCTTCAGCATTAGTGGTTGGGGCATAGACCTGGACTATTGTGATGTTGAATGGTTTACCTTGGATTCGAACTGAGATCATTGTCATTTTGGAGATTGTATCCCAGTACTGCTTTTCCTACTCTTTTATTGACTATGAAGGCTACTCCATTTCTTCTGAGGGATTCTTGCCCGCAGTAGTATACCTGATGGTCATCTGAATTAAATTCACCCATTCCTCTCCATTTTAGTTCACTGATTCCTAACATGTCGATGTTCAGTCTTGTCATCTCATTTTTGACCACGTCCAGCTTGCCTTGATTCATAGGTGTTACATTCCAGGTTCCTATGGAGTATAGATCTTTACAGCATCAGACTCTCCTTTCACCACCAGATACATCTGCAACTGAGCGTCCTTTCAGCTTTGACCCAGTCACTTCATTCTTTCTGGCGCTACTAGTACTAGCCCTCCGCTCTCCCCAGTAGCATATTGGACACCTTCTGACCTGAGGGGCTCATCTTCCAGCGTTATATCTTTTTGCCTTTTGGTACTGTCCATGGCGTTTTCATGGCAAGGATACTGGAGTGGGTTGCCATTTCCTTCTCCAGTGGATCACGTTTTGTCAGCGCTCTCTGCTATGACCTGTCCATCTTGGGTGGCCCTGCACACTATAACTCATAGCTTCATTAAGCTACACAAGCCCCTTTGCCACAAAATGGCAATGATCCATGAAGGGGTGTCCTGGCATTAATTCATATAATCATAGAATAATAGGCTCAGAAAGCCATCAAGTCCAACCCCCTGGGATTTTTTTTTAAAGCGGCCCCCTATATCAGTAAGTGCCCCATCCACATTGCCATGCAGGGCATCCAGCAAGGGGCAACTCAGCACCACCAGCAGTATTTCAGCCCCTTACCTGGCAACCTCCATCCAAAGATAGGCTGCTGAGGTGGGTTCAAGGAGGAGTGTACATGTGGTTGGAAGATGATGTTTCAGGCCATGCTTCCAGCTGGGAAAGGCCAGAAGCAAGTTGGCAGAAGTTCTTTGTTCATCAAAAGGATACACCTGTTGAATGGACTTGCAGGTCCCTGAATATCTACCAAACAGTTCTCCACTGAACACCTCCTTTTCAGAAAGGTAGGTGGGCACTCCCACCCACCAGTGGGTGGCTCCAGTGGTTGAGAGGCCTCAGGCATGGTAGGAGCTGGACTGGCCAAGGTGGGTGGCAGGGTTGCTGCTGGCGGCAGTGTTGTGACCAGCTAGCTGATGGGCACGAGTGAGCAAAGCCAGCCAGCCTGTCTGTCTTCTTCTTGGTACTTGTCATTCCTTGAGTTTTGGGGTCCTGCCCACTGCAGCCCCCACTTGCAGGCTGAGGGAGGCCAAGGGCCAGGTGTTACAGCACTCGAGCAGGGAAGAACCACCATGGCACTCTCAATATCTAGCAGGCATTTGGATGGAGCAGTGCCTTTTGGACAATGATGTCTCAAGCCATGTAGTACTTGGTGCATCATCAATAGCATCTTGGACCTGGGCTGGAAGCGTATTGGCAGCTAGGGCTGTTCCTTTGAAACCAGTGTTACATGACTCTGTTCCAGACAGCATTAGGCTGGTTTCAACTACTGTGCTGTCCTAAAGGGCAAACGAACCTACAGTGCAATACTCACCTCCAGCCAATAGAGAGCAGTAAAGAGTAAAGAAAAGTGGGCTACTTTTGTGTGTGCGTTTGTGTAAAAGTTGGTGAGGTGTGGCCTTGACTCTTTCAGAGTTTTGATTGGCCTGAAGGGGAAGATGTTTCTTATAGGCTGGAACAGCCACTGCTTTGATTTACTTAAAGAGCTGATTGCCTTGCCAACTGGAAAGGTAATAGAATTGTTGTTTCTGGAGTTGCTTGTTTCCCTGTAAGGTGAGTCTCTTTTTGTTTATTGGATTCTTTGCCCTTAAGAAATTGTTCCTTGTTGAAGAAGGGTTTTTAGTGTGTCTCAGAATCACACCAAGTTTTTAATTTGGCTCTGCTAGAGGGAGGACACCAGACTGATGCAAATTTCTTTAAAATAAGGAGCTGTGTTGGTGCTGATTTGCTTTTGTGTTAATTTATCCCTGAAAATTTCAGCAAAAATTAAAGAGGGGTAGAAAACAGAGACCCCCCTCCCTTTAAACAAGGTTTTACACTTGCACAATTTTTCAGCCATAATGGTTTGCAAATGGGAACAGGCAGGGCTGTGATCCCAAGTTCTGTTTATGATATCAAATGATGCTCTCTCTTCTGTTTCCCAAGCGTTCTTTTTGCTGATGGCAAATGGAAGCAAGCCCTGGTGGGAGGGAATATTTCTCTCTGAGGACTTCACCATCAGGTGTTCCCACTTCCACCATTGCTGTCCCAGGAAGAATTCACTGACTATTCACAGTGCTTAGAACTCTTCTTGGCTGGCATGAATGGCTTTTAAAACCACCGAGAGGGACAACAGAGATATGTGAAGTCTATTTATTATTTCTCCCACAACAAAATGTGTTTCTTAGGCTCCGTAGCAGGTAATAGGGTTTTTCTCTAAAAGAAAAGGCAGAGACTATAGTGTGTTAAGTAGACCTTGTTCATTTGGGAGGAAGTATCTTCTCTTGCTGCCCACATACATTTTTTCTTTGCCATATATAGCACCACATGTGATAAAAATATTTTTGAAACAGTGCTTGTAAGGATGCAGTCCAATGCATGCTTACATTGAACCTCACACTGAGATTTCCCTGTAAACATATCAAGGATTATGCATGCTGAATTCTCTTCCCAAACTCTGGAGCTTGAGCTGGGTTGAGCTCCCTGAAGCATCTTCAGTAGCTGTTGTTAACTTCCTTCTAAAATGCTTTACAGATACCAAGATGAGCTGCTTCACCTTTTTGAAGGTCATGATGATCTTGTTCAACCTGCTCATAGTCGTAAGTGCTTACTGTTTCCTACTAATGAGCAGTGAGGTAGCCTTGTAAATGGGAGAGGCTGGTCCTCTGGAACATGCTTGACTCCTTACATAAAACGTATAAAGCTATAAAGAACCTGTGTCTGTATGTTTGATAAACTTGAGATCAAATGTAGGCTAAGCACACTTATCCTGAGTAAGGGTGCCCAGTGATCCCAAACCTGAAGACCTGAAGAGACAGATCTTACAACAAAGATCAGGCCATTTAATTGACATCACTGTAGCCAAAAATAATTTATTAACATAAACATGTGTCGGGTTAGATGCCTGTTTATCTTACAACTAATTTCTGACACTTGCATGCTGCAATTCACATGCTGAAAGTAATTAACTCCCAGGTTTAATGAGTTTAGCTACAAATTTGTAAATCTGAAAGAGATTAATGTGTTTACTAAATCTTGGGACACAGCTAGATAAGAGGGGAAATATCTGAGGTATGGGACTAATAGTATGCAGGACTAATAGCTCTGTGAGGACAAACAGCAGGGAAAGGTCATTGGGTGGGAAGTATTTTAAAAACTTCTCCCAAGTCCTGCATTCCCAGATTTGCTCCTTCCATTTTTTTTAAAAAAAGCCATGAGAGAGAGATGACTGTCATTTACCACTGTGCTAGTTACAGCTGTGTTGTCTTGTAATGAACAACATGGAATGGTCACTTAACAGTAAGATGGGCTTTAAAAGAGCCTCCTCTGTGATTCTGGCAGCTTTCTGGGACTGCCACACCCGTGGGACAAATGGCAACAGGGACACAAAGTTCTCTTGAGTTAACCCAGGCAATAGGTGTGCCTTCATGCAGTCACACTACAAAATGGCAATAGGCTAATTGAATGCAAACATGATGCAAGCCAAAGTGCTCATTAAAATGTTTTCAAGTTTCCCTAGCGTGTCTCTGGACTGGCTGAGTTGGTTTTGTAGTTTCTGTGGGTGTTCATTCAGCTGCATGCTTGCTTCTTGAAGTTTCGCCGATGCCTTTGTGGCAATGCTCTTAAGGAAGCAAATTTGTATATCAGCAAATTTGTGTGAAATACACTTAATCTGAAATGGAGAGGGGGGGAAGCAAGATTTGCTTGCATACCGTTCACTAAGTGCACCGTGAAAGCAAAGGTGACCGCAGCGTGCAGAGTGCAGTAAGATCAAGGAGGCTGTTTGTGGTCTAGGTAAGGGGTCCCCAACTTGTCTGGGCCTGTAGGGTACATTTGGGATTTTGAGAAACCGCTGTGAGCCCCACCACAAGATACCTAGCCGTGGATTGCCACATTGACATCAACCTGTTTCAGCTGTGGAGCTTAGGTGACATTTTATCCATATGTGCTACTTTTACACATATGTTTTGGCAATGCCCGGGAGTTGCTTCTTTTTGGAAGCAGCTATTACACAGGTGCATTCTGTTCAGGAACATTCTTTAATATTCACTGATGAGCATGATCTTTTAAATTATTTACCTGCTTCCTAGAAATTAACAAATGGAAGGGGAAATGGATTCTTTGTTCCCTTTTGATAGCTAAAAGATTACATTAGAAAGATAAGCAACCTCATGCAACACAGTAGATTGAAGACCTTACAGTGTTTTCTGTGCATGCAGAGGTTACATAATACAGATGTCAACCTCAAATGGATATTTGCTTGGCTTTTATTGAAGCCTATGTATAATTGCTTCAAAGCTGTATGCCACTTATACAAATGTATGTGCATATATTAAGAAACCAGAAAAAATGAAATCTTCAGGACCCTACAGACTCTACACTGGAGACCACGTTGAAGGTGCCACTGGAAATGCGTCCAGGTGCTCTGTTGTCACCTGCATGGCCGTATACATGCTCAACATGCTCTCATGCATGTCAACATGCATTCAGTGGGATAATAATATGGAGACTAGCAACATATGTCCACAGACCTAAGCAGGGAATCTCAAACTTCTGTTCTCAAGTTTACAAATTGACTTGAGCCTCCCAAAGGGGTGCAGATCCTGAGGCTCACAGGTCACACCCTGCCCTCCTGTGGGGTTCCAGTCCCAATGGCACATCCAGTTTATGCATTTGATCAATTTAATTTTTAATTATTTTTTAAAATGATCATAGATGTAAAACTGTTAAAGATTATTTTAAGAATTCATAAATGTATCTGTTTATTGTGTTTATTAACTTATTTAACTGTTTATTACTTATTTAACTGTTTACTATTAAATTTAACTGTTATTTAAAGAATTAATAAATTTATTAAATTTGCGAACAGGATGTAGCACCAGTGTTTGTCTGATTTGTTTTTGGAGTACTGTATTATATACATTGCATTGTCTGTTGATGAGTTGACTTCAGGCCTCGCACAATCTGAACTCTGCCCCTATTACTGTTGTTTTAATAAGATTTTATCATGCCCTTCTTCCAAGGAACTCATGGCTGTGTTCATGGTTCTCCTATGCTCAGAGTAAGAGAAAATGAGTTAAAGGTGACTTGGCTGGATTCATTGAGCTTCATGGATGAGTGGGGATTTCAACCAGCCCTAGTCCAAGGTTCTAATCACCACTGTGATACAGCAACAAGCTCCCAAATGGATGCAGGAAATGATGCTGAAGCCACACTAATATGAAACAAACCTGTAATGGTTGAAATGAGTAGCATATTCTCTTTCATGCCTAACTAAACTAGCTCCTGATCTTGTTCATGTGAACAATGGCCAGCAACAGAATGGACCCTCAACTGATGCAATGCCACTACTTACCTCGAAGGTGTGAGAGTGTCCCCTTGACTTCCTCCCATCCTGTTGATGTCTCCCCAAAATGAAGTCTTGTGTGGTCGATTCCTGATTAGGGCTCCTTCAGGACCACCTCAAACTCTTGTGCAAGGTTATCAGTTGGCCAGGATTATGTGGAGTTGGTGAGGAGTCAGTGGGCAAGGTGGGCGCCCGAAATGAGGAAAGCCTGAGTTTCCTTCCTTGATCTGTTTCTCCTCTTTTGACTTACTTATGTTAGTTCATTGGCTTTGCATGTTCATGTCTACTGGGCAGGAAATGCAGCTTAGAAGGAAGGGTGTGCAAGTGTGTGTGTGTGGTGAACAGTCTAACTGCTGCCTTCTGGCAACAGTGTCCCAGCCATAGCCACCTTGGCAGCTGGGCACCTTGGGTGGGAGGGTGCTGTGGCAGTCGCGCCTTGCTTGTGGGTACCCCCCAGACAGCTGAAGGGCACCCCAGAAACAGAATGCTGGGCTCAGCGGACTCATCCAGCAGGCCTCTTCCTGTGTTCTGGTTGCCACCTGCTCATTCATTGCCAGCCATTCGAGGGGTGCCGGGGGTCAACTAGAACAGATCACAGGAGCCTGGAAGGCAGCTCTGGGCTTGGTCAAATGGAGCCGAGAGTTCTTTCAGATTTGTGTTTTCCTTATTTGCTCTGGGAATGAACTGGCTGGCAAGTGGTGCAGGTACATCCTGGCAGGGCACAAACCACATCCTGGCAGGGCCGCCACCGGTGGCGGCATGTCTGCTCCAAGTCCAGATCAGCTGCGAAGCCATTGGACTTGGCTCACTGCCACGGCCCATCACCTGTTCCAGCCCCAGTAGAACTGGCCTGGTGGCCAGCCGATGTCAAGGCAGGCTGGTGGGCAACCTGCCAAAGGCCCCCAACCTAGCAAGAGACTGACTACTAAAAGTCCCTCCTCCCACTTGTTCACCCGTCATTCTCCGTACTCCAGAAAGTGATGTTAGGAGGAGATGCCACAGCTGACATGCCTGCAAAGCACGCAAGTGCGAGGAATGAGGAGGAAGCGGGTGCCAGTGGTGGTGAGAAGGTGGGGGGGGGGCCTACCGAGGGTGTCCTGCCAAGGCCTGCCTTGGTGATGGTGGCAGTGCTGGCCTGAGATTCCTCTGCAGCTTGCCTTGCCTCTGGCTGCTCCATGGTAGCCAGCAGTGGAGAAGCACGGCCCACCTTTGCAAAGCGCGCCCTGACTGTGCAGTCTGCCCCGTGCCTGCTGCCCCTCTGGTCTCCTGCATGCCTTTTGGATCAGTGGTGTGCTTGAGTGTCTTCCCATGGATTTGCTAGTTGCCTCAAGAGTAGACTGGCTGAGCCTCATTGAGTGGAATACTTCCTAAGTGCTTGCTTCCTTCATAACGTGCTGCACAAACCTTAAAGTTGTGCAGAATGGATTTGTGCTTACTGATTTGTTTTTATTATCTTGTGTGAGTAACCTGTGGTGGTCTCACACAAGGTGGGAATGACTCATTTGGTAGCAGGTGACAAATACATGTGGCAGTTGTTCACCCAAATCAGCTTCTGTAATGCTGGCTTGGGATGATAGGAGCTGTAGTCCAATGGGAAGCCATTAGGATTGGGGAACTCTGCCCTTGCAGTCTGCCCAGGAATCAGAACTTTTCAAAGATGAGTTTGCGGTCATGATCATGTATGTTCTTCCTGTAATGAGGAAAGGATGTGCATTTGTCTCTTCTTAGAACTCACACACACACACACACACACACACACACACACACTACACTATGTACACTACAAGTGTACATAGAGGCCCTTCCTGCTTCTGCCATCAGAAAATGTGGACTTGTGCATTTGTGATCTGAAAGTACATTCTTAAATAAGACTTTGGCTTGAGAGATCATAAACACGGGCATTTGCAGATACCTCTTGTTTGAACAAGTCTACCCAAAATCCCATACTAAAATACTGGATTTGGGATTTTATAAAATAAATCAGAAGCAGCCACTTTTCTTCCAGAGAAGATTCCTCTCTTGCTCCACTGGATAAAAATACAGAAATGCAGCAGCAAGTTAGTTACTTGTAAAACAAATGGGTGGAATTCTGCCTGCCTGTTTTGCCTCATATCTTGTTTTCTATAAGGGCTGGGGAGTCTTTTTGCTTAAAAAATAAAAGCTGGGAATCTGACGATTGTGGCTCTGGGGAGGACTGCCTCCCCTTGCCGTCTCTCATGGACACCCATGCATTCAACCTGGCACCTGTACTAAAGTGTCAGTTGAAGCAGTGCCAGGTTTTTTTCTTATTATTTGAAGACAAACAAAACCAACACCTGTGGTCAAGTATAATTGAGCTGACCCTGTTAGAAATGTTTCTTTATGATGCCAAGTTCATTGTTCACTCTTAAAAATAGATGACTGGTTTGAAACTCTTGGTAGCTTTTGGTAAATCCATCCCTGTATAAAGAGAACCGGAAGAGTTTACAAGGCTTCTTTCTTCACTGGGACTCTTCTGCAACTTATTTTGTTGAGCTTTGTGAAACTACAGAATGAATACAAATACAGTGGGGAGAAATTCACATGGTGAAAGGGCTTTGGTACCTCCCATGATTGTGTAGAAGCAGTAGTTTTGGAAAAGCACACCTGGTCATGCTGCACCTGCTGTAACTCCATCTTCTGTATACTTGTTAAAAGTAAATTTTGTCCGTCTTTGACAAGGCAATGAATCCTGGAATTACCTTATGCCTCTGCCATGGAGAGTAAAAGCTTGACCCTGTTTTAGCTACCAACAGTGCAATTTTGTATACAAAGCTACTGAAAAGTCAGTCTCAATAAGTTCAGTGGGGCTTATATGACGGCAAATGGGTATAAAACAGCAGCCTTTGAGCCTTTTGCTACCAATCTCTGATGACTTCCTTGTTTCAACATTCTGTTCCTAACAATGTCTAGCAGGATGCAGTACAGAAGAAACATTACTTGCCCCCAGTTCCTAGCAGGTTTGATTACTGGGCACAATGGTGGGTTCAAAGACCATCACTCTGACTTTTTAAAATAACTTTCAGTGTTACCATATCTAGTTTTTTAAAAATATAGTTTTGTAATGATCTCAAGAAAGCTGTGGTCACTGCTGCTAATTCTGAGAGAGAGTACTTATTTGAATGGGCATAGCGTATATCTTGGTCCTTTAAGAACTGAAATGGTTCACTGGTAATGCTGGAGTTTCCTTTTTGGAAAGAAAAACGGGATCTTGTGTGATCAAACCACAACTATAAAGTACGTGCATATGTTTTATTGTGATGAAACATCAGCCTCTTCTATAGAAATGAGAAGAATGTATCACTCTAGGAAACAGAAGTACATCATGAGACTGGAATGCGCAGTCATAGGTCCAGCAATTTAGAAACTAAATGCATGTATGAGAGCAACTGGACAGACTTCTTTGAGGAGGCAAACAGTTTTGGTTCACAGGCCAAAATGCTACCTGGACTGATGTGATCTTTGCATATACATGGCTTTATGAGGAATCGGGCATATGCAGTGCGACTTGGACTGTGGGGTGGGGGGTGGGGACTGGCTTTGCTCATGTGAAAAATAGCAGGTTTCTAGCCCTTATAGAGTAGCATATGAGATTAATGCTGGTGTTTGTGCTACTTTGGGTTTGACGTGTGGGAGCACGGCTGTGGCTTTTCTTCTTCAGAGGTGTGAATGCTTTACTTGCCCTGGCTTTCCTGCCAAGCCCCAAACCCTGGAGCACAGCAGCATAAATATCTGCCATTTTCATTAATGTAGGAAATATATTTCTGCCAAAAAGTCTACATTTGGATGAAGCATGGAAATGCCGCTGCTGCCAGAGGTGCGGTTGGTTAGACTCCATGTACAATGTAGACAAAAACAAAGGAGATTGGTAGAAGGGCTGTGTATTTCTGCATTCTGGAGGTAAAATGTTTGAGGGTACCAGGTTGGGAGAAGCTGTTCTTTATGCATTGTCCTTTCAAGACACGTGGACCCCTGCAGTTTATTACCGTATTTCACGAGGCATGAGGTGCGACTAGGAGTGTGAAGGAGATCAAGGAGGGTATTGTTAAAAGGGAATCGCGCCCTTGTTGTCCTCCTCGTCTTGGAACTGTGTGGCATGAGGCAGAAGTGTGGGTGACCTCATGCTTGCGCTACTTCTCCCAGTTAAAATGCCTCACCCCATGTTCCTATGTGCTCCATAGGGAAAAACATACAGGTACCCACCCCCCAAGACACACACTCCTCCAAGGTCATGGTGCCAATTTGATTCAATTGTCTTCTTCTCTGCCATTAATTCTATAAAGCGGGTCTCCCTAATGCAGCACCCCGGGTACCTCCAGTGGCCCCTCCCACACGGTGCCCACGGGCTGCCACAACATTTTTAATACATGGACACACACCTTGTAGCAAATGCACACATCTTGTAGCAATAGTGCATAGGCTTCAGCAAAAGCAGACCAAATATCCAAATAAGTCTCCATCTGAAGTTGACATCTGTATGCCACCTGTGCATATATTGAAAGCACTGCAAAGTCCCCAGTCTGTGAGTGATTATCCTTCTCATGTTTTAATATCAGTCTTTTATCTGTTAAAAATGGCAAATCTATTCCCCCTTCCATTTGTTGATTTCCATGAAGCAGGTAAATAACGAGAATGTACATCATACTTGATTGTTCCAGTACAAAATTTATCTATTTAACAATCTTTTCCCCAAATCAAGCAACCAACAGGCATTGCCAAAAATGTGTTTAAAAAGAAGCATTGTCTGCAATTAGCAGCATTAGGCAATTAATTGCATTAGACAGTCCCTTATTAAAAAGATACTGGTGTGTCCAACAGACATGAAGCAAAAATGTTTGCTGCATAAGGCACAGTCTAAGATCCATAGATGTGACAGATTGACCCCAAAGTGGTGATCCACTGACTAGACATCTTGCCCACGCCATTTCTCAAATGTCCTGAGGTCCAGAAAGCTGAAGATTCTGCTTTAAAGAATAGCGTGGGAACCTGGTCACAAATCTCCAGTACAGAAGCCTACTTAGCCCATTATTTTGAGCAGAGTTCACCTCAAGCCATTGCTTTACAGCAAGATCTTACAGGAACCAAGTCGTAATCATTTTGTACCATAAAGGCTGGTACAACTATTCCTGTGTTCTGAGTAATGTTTATTTATTAATGTAAAGTCTTTTTAGTCTAACTGCAGCTGGAAAGTCTCCTAGAGTGGCTTGCAAATCTATTATATCCTGCCCTCAGGCTTGCAATCTAAAAAGACACAACAAAAGGAAAAAGAAGCAGGGAAGAAGGAGGTAACCATGTAACGCAGTCACCAGTTTTTTAGTGTTGCCGTATGGTTCTTTTACTGTCAAGCTGTAATGAACATCAGTGCTGAAATGCAACTGACTGGGCATTGTTGGCCCAATGATCAATGAGCACAGAAACAATTAAAAGAGAAGAGCAAAACAGTTGCAGGTTTTGCAGCTGAACTGCAGCCCGACTGAATGGTTGCTGCAGAAGACTTGAGGGAGAGGCAAAGTTGGATGAAACTGGCTTTTCAGGAGGGCTGAGAGTGGCCCTGCCTTCCTGCTCTGCCTTCCTGTATCCAGCCTGGTAGAGTAGATACTGTGGAAGAATTCTCCCTACACTCCAGGACAATTATTTTCCCTCTGGAGTCTTGAATGTGAGTGGACTAGAGTACAGTGTGCTTAGGCTCTTAATGCTGGACCAATACTATAGAATATTGCAAGAGATGATAATTGCATAGGAAAAGGAATCTCATGCCTTGACTGGAAATGCTTGCAGACTTGCCACAAAGGTGACACCTTCATAATGGCTTTCTTGGAGACATCTGTGTTGAAGCCTCTTTCTTTAAAAATAACCTTCCAGTAACTCTTTCTGGTTGATAAGAGTTGAGAACTCTGGAATATAATCTCTGTTAATTTTATGCACAGTGCTGTAATGTGCATAGAACTCAGTGTGCATGAAACTTGGAAGGGCAGGAGTGAATAGTGGCAGTCCCCATAGCTACATGTACCGCAATACCAGTTTTGATCTGTTTGTGTGTGTGTGTACTGGGAGCAGGGAAGCCTGAGGTGACTGGCGGATGTTGCCATTATCCCTGCTAATACCCCCCGCCCCCCCGCCACAAGTCCGTGGCCCTAGTGCACCACTGTTTGTACATTTTAGCACACGGTGTGACTCGCCAGGCCAAATGCAACTGTTAGCCATGATGGATGATCCGGGATAGACTTCTGTAGCTTATCTGGAACTGCAAACAAGGAGTGAAGGGGAAGCTGTCAAGTATCTGTCTGGCAGGCCACAATATGTGCACTGTGAATTTTGTTTTGTACCAAGCATGGAAATAATTATTTTCTTTTTCTTTCCTAGATTGGTGGAGGAACCCTCCTAGGGATTGGAATCTGGGTCAGTGTTGACAGTGGCTCCTTTCTGAAAATATTTGGTCCACTGTCCTCCAGTGTCCTCCAGTTTGTGAATGTGGGCTATCTCCTCATTGCCATCGGAGCCGTCCTGTTTTTGTTGGGCTTCCTAGGATGCTGTGGAGCCCAGAAGGAAAGCAAGTGCCTTCTTATCATGGTAAAATACATATGTTGGAGTAGTTTGTATCCCTTCATTTGTGCCTCCTGAATTCCTATGCAGATAGCAAGCGCTTTATTTTAAGGAGGTCTCTCCCTCCTTTAAAATTTCTTTAACTTGAGTCTGATGCAATAAAGACAAGCTATTGGATCAAAACCAAGCAAGGTCTTCCTCAGAGAGAAATCTTTTGGATAACTTCTTGGCAAAGTAGCATGTAACTTCTCTGGTCATCTTGTTCCTTTTTTGGTAGCAATCTGAACCTGTTCTGTTGCAACTTTAAAGATCCATGGCTATTTCTTATTTCCTGGAGCCCTTGTAAGCAGGAAATGGATTCCCTGTTTTCAGTGCTATGTGAAAGTAAATAAATACAATAAATCTGTAATGATGCTTAGAATTGCTATGCTGTATCTCCATGCCCTTTCCCTCCACTTCTTGTTATGAGGAAATAGGCTGGTGTAAATCCACTGGGGAAAGAGGAAGCTGTTGAGATATATATGTTCTAAAATGGCCTGAAGGCTTAAAGATATTCAGTTCAATGTGTTCAAAGATCTAAAAATCCAGGCAAGAAAGTTTGCACTTGAGCAGAATGAGGGATCTGAAGGGGCTGTCTTGATTTTTTCTTATGAGAGAGTCCAGTTCATGACATGTTACACCTGATAAGGGAGCTTTTTGTTTTGGGAATTATGGAAAATCTCCATGCTGTTGGCATTCTGTCTTTGTCTCACTTGAAAACTCAGTAAAGCCCATTAAAACTAACTTTCCAAAGTTAGAAGGTTGGCTACAAAGCACCCTTGACTGATCTATTTAACTCTCCTTACCAAACTTTAGTGCTGATGTCTCACAGAGGGAGCAATCTAATTTTGTTCTGCCTCTCTTCCCAGTTCTTTTCGATTATCTTGATCATCTTCATTGTTGAAGTGGCGGCTGCGGTGGTGGCCTTGGTCTACACATCACTGGTAAGTAATGTGAAGCAGAAGAGATGACTTTGTGGTGGGTTGCCAAGGGTGCAGTCCTATGCATGTTGAAACAGAAAAACTCCTACAATTCCCAGCACATTGTAGGACTTTTGCTGTGTGACTTTTTTTCTGTCACAACATGCTTAGGTTTGAATCTTTAGTCTTAAAATGGCTGTCCATGTTGAAGCTGCTGGGTGCTTTGAAGCACTCTATGTAGTTTTAAGAGCTCAAAGCCATTGTAATCTGAAAACAGAGACTTGCATTAAGATATGGACCTAAGGTAATTTACATTGTCATTCAAATGCCCTCTGTGGGTTGCTTTTGGGAAATGAAGCAATGTTATGCACCCAGATACTTGATCTAGTACTATTTATTAAATCCAAACATGATAGGTTGGGAGTCTCTAGGTCTGGACAGTATTGGCATGTTTGGCAAGGTAAAGATACTTGTTTATTTACTGGGAAATTAAAGGATTTAGCAGGAAAAATAAGGAGGAAAGAAAAAGATTCTTCTCTCATTGGCCAATAGAATTGAGTGCTACAGCTAGTTTGGTCTTTCATCTTTCTGGAAACGAACTGATTGTGATGGGGAAACGGGTTACCCATTACGCAGGCAGGTTCAGTCCAATGCCTCAGAGGTTTGACTAGACTTGACTGTACAGCTGGGTTGGTTCATGAATAAAAGGGTTGGGTAGCCAGGACTGCCTTTGATGTTGTAAGGGGAACTGCTCTCTTCCCCTCCCTTCATTCACTTTTTTCCCCAGCCAGGCTCTAATACTGGAATTGATCCTGGCTGTGAGAAAAGTACCTAGGCTGGGGGAAGCTTGGGAGGAAGGCTTTGGTTGAATCAGACTTGCTGAGCCTGTCTCAGACCAGGAGCCTAATCCAGTTTTGTTGAAGCCCTCTGGGCCTGCATTCTGGGAGCAGCAAAACCAAAAAGGGCAGGGCCAATTTTAGTTTAATGCTCTTACAGCCTAAGGGCAACAAAAGGCTCTTCTGCAGGAGACTTTTACCACTGCTTTACCAAGGGTTCTACTTTTGAGTTCTTTGTGAGATTAAGATCAGTATCTTTACATATTTTGGGGGTGGGCTTGAGGGGTCCTTTCTCTGCCTACTCAGCCACTAGGTGGCCCTACACAAATACACCAGGCTTCCATGCTGCCATTCAGGGATAGACTAGACTTTTCTCATTAGAGCAAGGGGGGAAATGCCATAATAGCTGCGGAGCATGGGAGCAGCCTTGGTGGATGCAAGTCAAGTAACACACCCTCAGGCTGCTGCAAGGGAGGACTCATGAGTGTCCCATAAATGCCTTCTAAGAGCCATTGGAGAAGCACTTCAAGTTCTAGAATGGAAAGAGACGGTGCAAAAGTTAAGAAAGCAGTGAATGGTTGGCAGCCAAGGGAAAGGTAATGCAGCCAGGAAAAGCCCGGGGGGTGGAGGGGAGAAATTTGCCTCCCTGGCCTGCAGTTCAATGCTAGAAGGTAGAACTTGTTTCCTAGCAGATATGCGTAGGATTGCACTGCATTTCTGTGACACGGATTCCTGCTCTGTTGTAAAGTACAGGGGAGCTGGTAAAGCGCTTACTCAGAAATGTTCCACATATTCTTTCTCTGTGTTTTCTTCTCTCCACTCTCCCTCTTAGAAAAGTGTGCATTAGTTGGTTATCAGCAGCACTGGAAGGACTTGCATGTTTGCTTTGTCATTCTTCTTTATCCAGTAAATGTAGCCAGTTTCACTTCCTGCTTTCTCTGGCAAATGCCACGTTGCAGTCAGTGCATGTGTTCCCAGAAAAATGTGCTGCTAACCGGGAAAAGGCAAAGTAGCCTAAATGCTTTTCGAAAGAACTACGCATCTGAAACTGAGTACACAAGTGTATACTTAACTCTTTAAGGCCGCAGAAGATGCTACAGGGGCAGCCGTGTTTCTTCAGGTGACCTGCCTCCTTCTTAGATGATGTGGAAAGGGAAAGGTCTGTTTTTTAAAAAAATTAAAAGTAGTATATTCATGAGTGGAATGGCATTGAAAAGTGACTGGCCATGGGCAGTACCGTGGTGTAAATACAGTGGCTGAGCCTCTAGACTTTGGATGGTCTTGGTTTATGAGAGGTGGTGTTGCAGGGAGAGAAAAGAAGCATATTATTCTGGGGATGGTGGAAAAAGTAGCATGGCCATGAATTTTCAGCTATCCATGAATTTATCGGTGTGCTCTACTCAGTTATGTACAACTTCTATCCTTTGCTTCTTCCTTGCAGGCTGAGGTTATATTGCAAGAAACAGTGACAAAGTTATTGAAAGCTGAATATGGAAAAAGTCCTGACATTACTACAGTATGGAATGCCACAATGAAGGATGTAAGTAAGCCCATGAAGCAGTCTGGGATACTGCAAAAGGGAAAATGGTCAGAGTAGTTAAGCCAAGGAATCAACTACCTAGGGCTCTCCTTTGCTAGAGGTATTCAGGTAAAGACTGGACAACCATCTGGCAGGGATGCTTTCATTGGATTCCACCTCTAAGAAGGGGATTGGATGTGAGGGACAGAACTGTGTAGGAGGTAGACCGAGGGAGGATGTAATGAATTTAGTATTGAAGCAAAGTAGAGCTTATTGAAACCCATGAAGATGGGGAGGAGTTACAAGAACATCTGAGAGAAAACTGGGTTGTCAAGGAAACCCATTCCAGAAAGTTTAATTGGCACTGGAAAATGCTTCTTCTGCAAACATGAGCCTAGGGAATTCTCTACTAAACCAAAAGTCCTGGCCATAACAAGCAGGGCAAGAATTTTGGTCTACTGTGGCCTTGTGGTAGGCCTCCCATCCAAGCCTGATGGCTGCAGGAACATGGTGAAAGAACAGGCATTCACTGATAGTCAAGTAGTTGGGTTGCTTGTTTTTGAAGCAGCAAAGTGATTCTTCTCACCAAGCTGCAACACCATTTGGGGAATTTTATTTGGATTCTTTGTCTCTCTTCTGCCCAAGCATCCAGCAGTGCACATCAGACCCATTCATGCAGCCATACTAGGGACCAGATATTGAAATGCTGGTTTCAGGCTAGGCTAGGAGAACATTTGGCTACAGACAAAATGGATCAATTATCTGGAATTGCTCTGTAGTTCCTTGTTAGTATTTTGTTACTAAGGTAGATGGGTAGTCTTTTGTTCCTCCCATTTTGGAGGCGAAACTAAAAGATGAGCAGTGGCATCCAACATGCCATATTTGTTACATGCATCTCTTACCCCTAAGCAGCTTTTCCTTACCTGCTTCCTACCAGATGTTTTGGAAGTACAGCTTTCCTGGCATTTCCCATGCTGGCTTAAGTTGATGGGAGTTGAAGCCGAAAACATCTGGGAGACACCTCATTGGGGAAAATTGTCCTAAACAAATGTGCTGCTGCTTTTCAAAGGTGCTGTTCTGTTATAAGCTACCTGTTGGAAGAAGGTGAGCTAGTAGCTCTCCAAGGCTGCAATGCTATTCATGCTTGCTAAAATTTTTGGAACATATTTCAAATTTTTGGAACATCAGAGTGACATGCATAGGATTTCAGTGTCTGAGCAATCCTGCTCTGTCAAGTAGAAAAGGCCCTCATGATGGGACAATGGAGTAATTAGTAAATACGCAGTTCTTGTTTAGGATTCTAAAATGAACAGGCTGTAGATAACACATCTCCTTTGCTCTTAACATTTTCCTCTTTAGCTGAAGTGCTGTGGTGTATCAAATTATACTGACTTTGATAGTTCTGTCTACATGAATGAGCATCACGATCAGTATCCACCTTTCTGCTGCAACAGTGAAAATACCTGCAATGCTACTCAGGCTCAGCAAGACAAAGTGGAGGTATGGAAACAAATGAATGTCTCCTTTACTGTATAATTGTGGAGGAGGGAAAGAAGGATGAGAAGGCATAGTTATGAATGAATCTTGCTGACTTTTGTTTCCCGGCTGTATTTTGGGAAAAGTACCTTCTCAGCTCAGGGGATAACAGCACTTATGAAATACAGATGTCTTTTCCCCCTACTGGTCTAAAACAACTTCAGCAGTTGTACCCATCTGGGTGGAAGAAGATTGGATGGATTGTTGGCTGAACTAATTGTGAATTCTCCAGCTGAGAAGGCATTTTAGACAAAACTGGTGGTGAATTCCCACCAACCTGATGATATTTTTGGGACATTTGGATTTTGGAGTGAAGTTCCTGGGAGACAGCTTCTTTTTTTTTCTTTAATGAGTCTGTTACATATAAACCTAATGGGTCCTCATGTACATGGTTGGTTTGACATAGAAGCCTTTACATCTGACTACTCAAATGTATTCTGAGCTGTGCACTCTTTCTTAGCTGCCCTGAGAACCTTGTTAAAGGGTCTGATATAAAGTTTGAAGGTTTTGGCTGCTCTTTTCTGTGGAGCTAGAGGCCTGTATCTCATGGATTCTGCCCTTGATGATGCGAGGAGGCCCTAAACACTTCTGCACATGTGCAATACATTCAGATACAATTCTTATAATGCGGTATCCCATTTGTGGGAGCATCCCACTAGTTCTTCATACGCTGTAACCATATGCATGGTACAGATTGGGAAATGCTTAATTTTGTGAATGTGAAGGGCAATGGATTTATCTGACTATTTGTTCTTCTGGTGCCAGTGCAAGGTGGCACCTGGAGACATCTATAGCTTTGCATGGTATTAAGATTTACTCATTTTTGTCTTCCCCCCATCATGAGCTATGTTGTAATAGAGTTGTTTTTCTTCCTTTCTTTTTGTAACAACAAACCAACCCAAGGGTTGCTTCCCTCAGCTGCTGAAAGAAATACGTAAGAACGCTGGTGTCGTGGGTGGAGTAGCAGCTGGGATCTGTGCACTGGAGGTATGTTGATGGGTCTCCCTTTGAGAATTGATCTGTTCTGTAGTTCTTCCACTGCTGTGCCTGAGGACCACAAACGAGATGACCTTCTCCTTCCTCTTTACATTGCATCAGTATCTTGCCCTTCTTCCCCTTGCAAGGAATCCAAGGTAGCTTAATTGGTGGCTCTGCACTCCATTTTATCAACAAACCTGTGAGGCAGGTTAGGCTGAGAGTGAGTGACTGACCCAAAGTCACCATGCAAGTTGGGTGATGGAGTGGGAGCTCCCAAGTCCTCAGTCTACCACTAACCAGAATTATTGAAGCATTCATATGGTTTGTACTGAAGGAGCAGATGGGTGTTATGAGATACAGGATCTAAGAACAAGGAGTCTGGTTATTCCTTGAACATCAGAGGTTCAACCTGCCTGTGCATGTACACACTAAGCTTGATGTCTGTCCTTGGTAGCAGGCCACAGGATTATTGAACCTTGGGCCTAAAAACAATCAGTGTAGGAAATGGCATCTAATTGGATTGCTAATGGGCAGCTTCTGTCTTTTAGTCAGTTAGACATAATAACACAGGTAGGTGGACTTGTGTGTTTCCAGAGGACAAGAGTATGTGGCACTAGAGCAAGTACACCTTAGTATTCTTCACAAATGGTCTGTTCACTTAGGGCCTGTGCCCGGAAATCCTGCTTCAGATGGTTATCTTATGGCAGAACAAATGTACAAGAGCAACTGATTTGTGAGAACTGAAATCTTGGCCTTCTTGGCCCAACTGGGAGAGAGAATATTGGTATACATTGGTTTTTGAGGCCTGTGGGAGGAACATCCAAAAATCTGAGAGGAAATATTACTTCCTTATATAGAGGAATTGAGTCATTTTGGGGTGTGTGGGAAAGGCAGCAAATCAGATGTTCCACTGATTACACTGAAGGCCGGACATTTGGTGAAGTCCTCTCTCTCATGGCAGAGCTAGGTCTTTGTTTATGGCCTGGGTGCACGACCACTTTCAGGGCAATGGCCAATTTACATTTTGGAGAAGCTTTTGAGAGGTCACTTTTCAGTGACAGATGGGTCCAAAAGTGTGGAGGTCCCAAATGCAAAAAATACCAGCCGATTGCAACAGAAAGCTCCAACTCCCAGTAACGTCAGAAAGGCATTTCAAGCTTTTAGAATGTGAAAAGGTGCAAAAGGTGGACACTAAGCAAACAGTTGGCAGTTAAGGAGAGAAGGGAGCAGAGAGTGGTACATGGTCATCTGGGAACTCTGCCTGGGCCAAATTCGGCCTGCTGGTCTGATTTAGCATTTATTCTTAATTTAGCAATCATCCAGCTTCTTCCTCTCTAACATCACACTGTTCACAAGAATTGTTGAGAATTTACAGATGCCATCTCCTGCTTTAATTCTAAGCTCTACTTTTTGTCTTGTTTCTCTTCTCACCCTCACAGATTGGAGCAATGGCTGTGGCAATGTACCTCTATTGCCGCCTTGATGAGAAATAGCCGGTATGGGCCGATGGGAGGACTGCCTTACCAGGAGGCGAGAAAATGGCGCACGCTGCAACCTTTTCTTAACCTGAGTTCACAACAATCAAACATTTCTTGGGCCTGACGCGCATTGTATGATTTAACTATTTGACTCTACTGGGCTGGAATCCGTAGTGTGTACATAAATGAAGTAAGGAAAAATGTTATGATAAGAATTGTTTTGGAATGCAAAGGACTCTTGGGCTGCAAGCCAGAAATGACTAAATCAACGTTGGAGTCAGGGAAGCCAAAAGTGACAGTATTTCTGTCTTTTGAAAATCGCTTGTGCCCCTGTCGAATGTGGGGGTTTTTCCTGCTGGCTTTGATGCCTCTCATCCTGAGACATGGGAAATCTGTCTGGGAGAGTCAGTGGCTCAGAATTCTGCCTATGGCTTTGAAAGGCTCCGGTTCCTTTCCTATACACACCAAACCATAGAATTATGTCTCCTAGTGGTATAAACGAGGGAGCAAACATTGTTTTTATCAATACAAGCACAACATAGGAGACAAGCAAAGATCATGAGCTGCTGTCAACTGCTGAGAGAAAAAGTGCATGACTTTGAAGGACAGTGGCATCCTCCTCTGTAGGTCACTGCATGAGGACTATCCTGCTCCCAGCATATTCCACATGATATGTCTATGGGTGTCTGGTTGAGCTGGCTCTATCTGAATGGATCTCTCCCTGTACATTGTCTGCCTCTCCTTCTCTTTTTTACTCTTAATACAATTTAAGTGATGACCTAGCTAGTAAATCATATTGTTTGCCCATTGACTATTGCAATAAAGTCTACTTTTTAATTAAGACTCACAGATGTTGTCTAGCAGAGCTGAGAATGCCAATATTATTTAGAATGTTTGCAGAAACTCATCTGGCCCAGAGGAGAGAAACATATCTAGAGAGAGGTTTCCCTGGTGGGTAGTGCAGAAATGTTAGAAGTGAAATGAAGCCATCATGCCTCTTCCCTTGAGTTCCCTCAAGGACGATGGAGTTGGGTGGGCCCAGGCTGCATGTGCCTTTAAAGGAGGGGCCTTGGCCCAGTGGGAGGGTACCAGCCTTCCGTGCAAACGGCCCCAGGTTCAATCTTGTCTAGATAGAGCTGGGAACATGCCTTCTTGAACTCTTGAGGAGTCACTGCTGTTTAGTGTCAGCTACGCTGGGCCAGGTGGGCCCATGATCTGACCTGGTCTGAGGCAGCTTGTAAAGTCCTTAATGGCTTGTGTTACCCCTTGGTGCTTCAGCAAAATCTAACCAGTGGGCAAAAGAAAATGGATTTACACTTGCCTGGAATTGCAATGTATCATTGAGGGCACCACAGGTTTGGGATTGACCCACTCAGTAAGGTTTTCTGAGCTCAGGAGTTCAGGAGTGTTGTTCACAAGTGATGCTGAGAATTTCATGAGTATTGGAATTTCTAGCAGCTGAGCCAAGGGAAAGGTTCATATTCTGTTTAAATTAATTTTGTTTTAATATACCTGCTCCTTTATTGTATTAGCATTCAAAAGTGACTCCCTGGATAAGAAAATATAAATAAAATGGATTTAATTTTAATTTAGCAATTGATGCTAACTGGTAGAAGTGTTTATGGGAGAGTATAGCTTTTTGTTTTGTGTGTGTGTGTGTGTGTTTGTGTAGAGGGCATTATTTACTGTGAAAACTCAGTGCTACAGAAATGAAACTATGTACCTTGCTAGATATAGCTACTTTGCAGATATATAATAGTCACAGTTCATAAAACCAAATGGCACATTGTGTTACAGCTGAGTTTGGCTTCCAATGTGGCTTACAGTTAAAATGTACACAAGTTTAGTTCCAATAAGGATACTACTGTGTCTAGAGTCTTCTGGCCCCTTGCAGGTGAAGACATAATTCAGATTCCTGGCTTTTAGCTCCAGGAGATGGAAGCAAAAGAGCTGCTGGTGGTGCAAAAGCCAGCAAGAAACCCCTTTACTGGTTTGCAAAGTTGTCTAAGAGCATTTCCTGGAAGGGTGGGAATAGGATTGGAGAAAAGCTATGAATCTGTCAAGAGCTCACATTGTAATAACACCAGGACTTCCCTGTAATGAATCTACTCCAAGGCAGAAATAGTGGCTGTTGATAGTCAACACACCTGAACTATTTTGCATTTGACAAGTGAAACTTGTACCAGTGTCATGCTGTTCTTACTTGAAGGGTTCTCTGGTATCATGTTTGAATTGTCACATTATTATTGCATTGCTTTTATATCCCACCTTTCTTGCAAGGAAGCCAAGGCTGCTTACAGCTCACCACCGCTCCATTTTATTCTTACAACAGCCCTATGAGGAGAGTTAGGCTGAGAGTGTTTGACTGGCCCAAAGTTGCCCAGCGAATTTTATGGCTGAGTGGGGACTAGAACCCAGACCTCCTGTGTGCCCATTCAGCACTGTTCGCCACTTCACCACACTGGCTTTCATGACAGAAGACCTCAGGGAAACCTTTTCTGGTAACACAGACTGCTTTGTTGTTCTACACTTCCACAAAAAAAGATTTTAAACAACGGTTCTGGAAAATATGAAAGTTTCAAGGGTGATGTTGAGCCAGTTCAGTTAACCTACTTCACAGGATTGCTGTGACAATCGTGTGTGTGACAGAGAGGGAGAAAGTGATTGCTTGGAGGAAGGGCAACATAAAAATGAAACTTAATTTAAAATATGTTAATCAAACTGAGCGCCTGATAGACTGTTTGCTATTTGTTAACTCTGATGCAATATCTGAGTTGCAACCTGAAACCCACAGCCTTTATTTTTCCATTCTGACCAGAGCTGTAGACACAATGATTTTTTTTTCTGTGCATCCTCTTCTAAACATACTCAAATATTGTAAAATATTTCTAAACAGTGTCATGTGTAGAACTGGCTGCTCTGGACCTGACAGCAACTCCATGACCACAATAATACTTTCTGCAGTTGCTACAATTTCAGCAACTCTGAAAGGCCCCTAAGCTCTAAGAAACAGAAAGCCCTGTCTGGGCTATACCAATTTGAGGTGCAATTAGGAGCAGAAACAAACATTCAAAGTGGCCTTCACAAAGCAGGACCCAGCCTGCAGCTTTTCTGCCTTTTTATGAGTGGCATAGCCTAGGCAATGACTCCATAAAAATCAGGCCTGTACCTGCATATAGCTGTTTGCACACTGGTTGCCCTTGTGAGTGTGTTCTGTGCTGGTGGTCAGTGCAGCTGGTGTGAACAGCAGCTAGCGTGTGCCTTCCCACTAAGGACACCACAAAGAGGAAGGGTGAATCCCAAGGAGCACTAGCTTTCTACAGGCACCCATTGCCAAGTCATGCTGAGGAGAAAGTGGCAACTCTACGCAGAAACAAATAATGTTACTATATCACGGGGGGCGGGGGGAGGGAGGGAGCCAGACTTCTTCCAACTCAAAGCATTTCTGGTTTCTGGTTGCCTATGAATCCATGCTGCCTATTCTAGTGGGCAGCATGTGTGTACAGGAGAGAGCTGCTTATCCAAGAAAGCTGTTTTCACAACAAGCCGTGCCAGGTGATCTTGGTGGAGCAGTATGGAGCTGCGCTCAAGGACAGGATGTCCTTCACTCTGCTTTTTTTACAACGGCTCCCACTAAGTTGCCTTGGAAATATGTGAGGTGTGTTGCCTCTCCTGGGTGTGGCTTGTGAAGTTTCCAGGAAGTCTTGTGTCTGTATTTGAGGAGAAAGGACTGATACTTCATTGGTATGAGGGCCGAGGAAGCATTGCCAACTCACCGAAGAAAGTAATCTCAAGAAAACACACTCATACTGAGTGCTGAACTGTGTGCCCTAGAGATCTCCTTCTGCCCCTGAGCTCGCTCATGTGATGCTATGCCTAAGGTGCCAGATGTTGCTGGGGCATGCTGGAGGGAAGGATGGAAGTTCTCATCTAGTGGGCAACGGCTTGGGGAGGCTGATCCAATGTGTGTGAGTGAGGGAGAAAGTCTGAGTGGGAGTAAGATCAGACCAATGGATGCATTCAGCATCAATGGCTTCTGACCACTGCAATCCGGAATAGCCCTTTCCTCACCACCCACCCAGGAGGTAATTGGGTGCTTTCAGCATCATTCTGTACTTTGGACTGTGCAGCCCCACCCTTGCTCTCTGGTTTCCCCCTGGAATGGCTTCCTCTTTCAATTTGTATGCATGTACACCTGCACAGAGAGGGAAGTGGTGGCACCACAGAGAGCAGTATGCAAAGCAATACTGCAAATTAACCAAATCTGTGACTGACTTTTCCCATGGAAAGGAGGCCAATTACCACTTCACAGAAATGTTAACATGGTTCAATCAAGTTTATGTTGTCCGCAAATTCCCCAAAGATTAAATGCATTCATAAATACTCTCTGTTAATGTCTGTTAGTTGTGCCATTCCAATAAAATCTCCCATATTTGGAAGGTAAGTATATCGTTTGAGTGTCAAATACTACAGTTGAACAGAGGAAAATTTCCACCTTTTCTTTCTGTTTAGTTTTGGAGCAATTTGCATAGCTGCTGTTGGATAGGAGCTGCTATAGCAGATGGCTCTCAGATTGCCTCTGTCCTGCAAAGCATCTAGGAAAGGTCTAGTGCTGAACATGTTGCCCACACATCCGCTGCACCAGAAAATGTTTCTATTTGTCTTAAGGAAACAAAAGAAAGAATGACTTAAGCCGCTCTGTGCTTATGCATGATATGCAAGAGGCACAGGTAAGGTAGGCTATGGTGGAGTGAGGGATAAAAATGAGAAAGGGAAACAGAAGCAGGCCGAAGGAATGGCAGGGCTTGCACCAGTTGGGCAGCTTCTGCCTACAGGCTTACTATCTTCAGATGATTTATGGTGAAGCAACAGCAGCAGGAGAGAGAGGAGAAGGCTGGCAATCCAGCTGTGCTACCCAGCAGCTGAGTGGAGAAGCAGAGACATCCCACCAGTCCTGCTGAAAATCTACTTAGGTTTTCCTTTCCCCTCCACAGCTTCTTTTCCTTGTCTGTCGTGCTCTTTTATAGATTGTAAGTCCATGGACAGAGGCTGTCTTATTTTATTGATTATAAGTCGATTATAAGCCACCCCAGGATACTTTTTTGGCTGAGGTGTGGTATAAAAGTATTTTATATGATAAATAAGTAGCAAAACAAACCAACATTCCAGCCACTGAGGTGGAAAAGATATTCAAAATCTCCAGGATCTTATGGGCTAAACTTGGGTTTGCTGAACCAGAAGCCAACACTTGAAGTAGCTGTTGTTTCTATAGCTCAGCCTTCCACAAACTGGTGCCCTCCAGATATGTTACACAACTCCTAGAATCCCCCTGGCAACCAGGATGCTGGCAGTTGCAGTCCACCACACCTGTGGGGCACCAGGTTGGGGAAGGCTGGTGTTGCCCATTAGTCAAAGCAAAATGTTCAAATGTATTTGTGTCAGGCAATTCTATTTTGTGTTAAGAACATAAGACCATCGATGCTGGATCAGGCCAATGGTCCATCCAGCCCAGCACCTCATTCACATGGTGGCAAAGCAGCTGCGCACAGGATCCTTAAGCAGGGAGTGCAAGACCTCCTCCTGCCAGGCTCCTCAGCAACCGGTGTATGCAGGCATGCCGCCTCTTGATATCAGAGGTAGCATGTAGCCACCGAGGCTACTAGCCATTAGAATGAATTTTAAGAGGCAATCTTCTACCTATAATTTTATGATAAACTGTATCAGCCAACTGGATGTTTTTCAAAATCACCCTCCAATGTTGGCAATGTTTGGCTTTGGTATATGCATGAAAGGAACTGAGTAAATAGCTTAAGTCTTATTTACCTGTTTGCATTTGTGTCCATTCCTTTCTCTGAGTGTACACAAATTGTACAGAGGAGGAACGTCTTTGTGGTTTTGCTGGAATAGTCACCACCACAATGCCTTGTATTGTCTGCCGCAGGGGTGAAAGGACTGACCTTTACTTCCCTTTGCTGGCTGCCTGACTTGTACTTCTACCCAGACATGGCAGTATGCCAGATAAATATTAAGTTAATTATGCACAAATGCCCCCTAGAGAGATTCTCTGTGCCTGCAATCTAAAGTTAGTTCTTTTATGTCCTTTGGAAACCAAAGACTGAGATCATTGCCATGCACATGTTCTGGGACATGAAACATTCCATCCACAGTGCCAGATTTCGCTGTCCTGGGATCTCACTGTCCCTGGTTATTATGGAGCTTGGTCCTCCACCCGACAAGGCACAGGGAAAGCCAGCAGGGTTTCTGGGGCCTGTAGCTTCTGGGGGAGCATGGCAAAGGATGATGCATGCAGCCCCCCCCCCCTGCCCCCAGGCACATACCCAGAAGCAGCTAGAGATAAAAGGGACATTCTGGCTAGCAACATATCCCCTCCGTTGCCAGGCCTGAGGGCAGGTCTGACTGTGGCAGGGACCTGCCTTACCTGTTCTTTACAAAGCACCAGGTGCACAGATGGCACCAGATAAATCGCCTAGCAAAGAGACCTGGCTTGGCATGGCCCTTGGCTTGATAAAGCAAAGACTTCAAGCAAACATAACTAGTTGTCAGAACTGGAAACATTCTAAAGCCTTG